CCCTCTGGAACGAACTACCCCCCGAGATCCGGATGATTCCGGATCTCCTTACTTTCCGCCGCGCCCTCAAGACATGGCTTTTCCAGCAAGCGGGCCTGACCTAGGGAGGATTTTACTTAGGGATGATTTTAAGTATAATTTTAATTGGAATACAGCTTCTAATATTTGGTTTTTAATTTGGTTTTATAGGGGTTTTTATTTTTGTATTTTACATTTGTATCTGTTTTAATATGCTGTGCACCGCCCTGAGTCCTGCGGGAGAAGGGCGGTATATAAATTAAATTATTATTATTATTATTATTATTATTATCGGTGGTTCCAGACACCTCGGTTGCTGAGTATCCTGATCCTTCAGTTCCAGCTGTTGTTCCTGATCCTTCAGTTCCAGCTGTTGTTCCTGATCCTTCAGTTCCAGCTGTTGTTCCTGATCCTGCAATTCCAGCCGTTCCTGAGTATCCAGCTGTTCCTGAGTATCCAGCTGTTCCTGTGTTTCCAGACCCAGCTGTTCCTGAGTTTCCAGATGTTCCTGTGTTTCCGGACCCAGCTGTTCTTGTTTTTCCAGGTTCTTCAGTTCCTGAGTATCCTGTGAATCCAGTTCCCTTTGTTCCTGAGAAGCTTTGGTTTCCACCTTTTCTGTTCCAGATTTGGTTCCAGTTTCCTTTACAGGAAGACAACCTTGTCTCCCTTAGAGACAAGAACGCATACCAGAACTATTGGCCCATGGGACTTGCACACCGGGCCCACCCAGCTGATGAACTACTTTGCCAAGCTCGTGCTTGTTCTTCTGAGTTATCTATCTGTTAAAGACTGGATAAAGGCATGTATCCTATCTAAAAACAGAATAGGGTTCATTGCATACAGTGAATGGGTGGGGGCTAAATTTCTTCCAGGTAAACATTTGACATCTCAGTCATTTCCTTCTTTGGCATGAAAATACATTTCAAGGTTTAAGTGATAGCATCAGATCCTGCCAATAAGGTGGGCCTTCTTTAGACAGGAACATCCTAAGCTTGTTAGTATATGTAAATTGGAGCTGGTCAGAAGTAAAACAAAGTAAATGTAAGCTTTCTTTATTGTTCAAAGAGAGACTTCTTTCAGACAAGGTAATCCATATTGGCAGCTGTCTTAGGGACAAGTGGCTTGTTTGTTAACATACCTGTATGGATGTATGAGCTAGGGTGGGTCTCATTGAACTGGAAAGACATTGAATCAAAATAGCTATTGGAATAAGACCTTGTGTTAGTAGTGCATTTGATCTCTCATCTGGGTACCCTTGGCGTTCAATAGTTTGGAATTTTCTCCAGCCAACCAAATGGATTGGTGAAGGAGGAGTAAAACAGCTTGTCCTTCTTACTCCAGTTCACTCAACTTTATTTTTGGCTGTGGAGGAAGAAAAGTCCTTTTCTCTGCTGTAGAAAGGCATCTTTCTTTCACCAGCCTCTTTGGCTTTCATGTTGGGCCCTTGAGCAAGAGGCTGCCCCGTCCTTTGTTACTGTGGAAACTGAATTGATTTATCCTGAAGAAAAAGCAGTTTTCTGTTTGTCTCTTGCAAGTTCCATGCAATTTTAGCCTACAGTTCATTTTATACACTTGCTTTTAATTCATTTAAGGAATCCTTATGAATGAAAAGCAGGCAAGTGAAACACTTTATTGACAGGGAAGTTTGTAATGTCATTTTTAAATACCTAAAGTTTCTCTTTCCTATGAGATTCACACTCATTAAATTTCCTTTGTCTCACTTATGCTGGCATACATAGCTCCATCCTCTGGCCACTGCATATGCCTTGTATTAAATGGTGACATGCTGTAGGTCCTTGAATCAAAAACATTTTATTTTACAACATTGTGGATTTTCTCCAGGGCTTTGCATCCTCCGGGCTGGCTTCCCCAATGGCACTGTGGTGTCAGGGTCATCTCAAGCAAGAGGTTGGTTGGCTTCATTAGTGCTATTCCAGCTGCTATGCACATATATGAAACGTAAGTTGAGTCACACTTTTCTGTTTATGCCCCGAAGAGCTAGCTGCCATTCCTCAATTCTTTCTTTCTCTCTTTCTTTCTCTCTTTCTTTCTTTCTTTCTTTCGAACTAAACAAAAAAGCAGACTCACATTGTATTCTTTCAAATCAGGAGCTCTGCGCTTTTGTGCGGTGCCTTTTAATTCCTTCTTGCATATAGCTGTGTGGAATAAATAAGACTTTGTGGAACATTTGAATCCTAAGTCCTCTCATTTTAAAAGTCATGTAAACGTTTGGTGACATAAACATCCTGATAGACAGCATCACCAACAGATGAATTCTTACCTGACTGACCAACAGCACTCAACATGTAGTCCTCAATGGAACTACATCTACATGGAGGGAAGTAAGCAGTGGGGTACCCCAAGGCTCTGTCTTAGCCCCAGTACTCTTCAATATCTTCATAAACAATTTACATGAGGGAATAGAAGGGGAACTCATCAAATTTGCAGATGACACCAACCTGGCTGGAATAGCCAACACCCCAGAAGATAAGCTTTAGAAGATAGGCTCAAGATCCAGAAGGATCTTAACAGACTCAAACACCGGGCCCTATCCAACCAAATGAAATTCAGTGATGAGAAAAGTAAGGTTTTACACTTAGGCAACAAAAACAAAATGCACAGGTGTAGAATAGGTAGTACTTGGCTCAATAGCAGTAACTGTGAGAGAGATCTAGGAGTCCTAGTGGACAATCACTTAAGTATGAGCCAGCAGTTTGCTGCAGCTGCAAAAAAGCCAATGCAGACCTAGGCTGCATTAACAGAGGGATTGAATCAAGATCATGTGTAGTGTTAGTACCACTTTATAATGCCTTGATAAGACCACACTTGGAATATTGCATCCAGTTTTGGTTGCCACGACACAAAAAAGATGTTGAAACTCTGAGAAAGAGTGCAGAGAAGAGCAATGAAGATGATTAGGCGACTGGAGGCTAAAACATACGAAGAACAGTTGCAGGAATTGGGTACGTCTTGTTTAATGAAAAGAAGGACTAGGGGTGACATGATAGCAGTGTTCCAATATCTAAGGGGTTGCCACAAAGAAGATGGAGTCAAGCCATTCTCCAAAGCACCTGAAGGCAGGACAAGAAGCAACGGATGGAAACTAATCAAGAAGAGAAGCAACCTAGAACTAAGAAGAAATTTCCTGACAGTGTCATGGTTCCGACAGACAGAGACAAATAAAGCAGAACTCGGAGGCTTGCAAATTCCTCAAAGAACATGTTTATTGATACAAAGTATCGGCACGTCAAAAGTGAAACCAAGTCTGAATAGACATGTAAAAATCCCCAATACAAAGTTAAGAAATCCCACCCCTAAAGCTACGCAAGCTACTACGTTCCCCAATACATCTTCTTGGCGGGCTTTTCACGAAACGCCCAGCCTGCAGTCCCGGGAGCAGCTGATGACCTTGGTTCCCACAGGAGAAAATCTGTTTAGTCTAGCGAAGCACCTGGTAAAACCCCCCCCCCCATTCCATGCTATGTGTCAACCAAAAATGAGTAGGGAAATTGGCTGCACCCACGCTCATTTTCAAAGTTGACAGACAGTTAGAACAATTAATCATTGGAACGGCTTGCCTCCAGAAGTTGTGGTACTCCATCACTAGAGGTTTTGAAGAAGAGATTGGACAGCTATTTGTCTGAAATGGTATAGGGTCTCCTGCTTGGGCAGGGGTTTGCACTAGAAGACCTCTAAGGTCCCTTCCAACTCTGTTATTGTAGAGAGAGAAAGCATGTTTTAGGTTCTTAGGTAGAGAGAAGAAAAAGAAGTAGCTTGGCAAATACAGAAATTAAGACTTAAAGCCTGGGCAGGCAAGCATCTTTTTTGCAGTTCTCCAGTTTTCTTTACAAATTGAGACAGACAGCAGTGAGCAATGGGTAATGATTTCTCCTCTTCCTTTAAAGGAAAAAGAAGATAGTAGAAATAAACTTCCTTTGTGTGCACAAGAAACTGCGTTCCAAGAGGGTGACACCTGTTCTGATATGGGAGATCACCCGACGGGTCCACTTGGAAGGGATTTTCCAGGCAGTATACACAGCTGGTGTAGTTTTACCAAAGCCTGTTGGGACATGCAGGTAGGTATCAATTACTAGGGTTTCTTTCCTTTTCTACTTTACTTCCCTGTGTGTTTTACTTTTGTTTACCTTCTGTTGCTTAAAAAACCCATCTGTTAGATGCACCCTTTACTTTAAAAATGAATGGAAAACTAGCCCTCAGGCCTGAAAGGGAATTATTGAGCAAGAGAGAACACTATTGAGTTGATGAATCCTTAAATATTGCAAGCAAACTGGAGTCACACTACATTTTTAGGCATAGGTTTTCAGAACTGAAGTAGAAAGTGGAGGGTTTTGGCCTGGCTGGTTAACTAATTATTTTAGCTGTGAGAACCAACCAGAGTGTATTTGGAAGCTATACAGAACAAATAAAACTGCACTTGTTTAAGCCAGTGATTCTCAGTGGTACACCAGTTAATATGGGTGAGGGTTAAAGTTCGCTTTGAAAGCTTAAAACTCCAATTTTGTTTCTGCCTCAGTGAGTGAGGCATAGAGGTTCAGTCTTAATTCTCTCATCTCTCTGCCAGTATGGATAGACAGATTCATTGTGAGGAAGAGAAGGAAGGGGGTACCAGGTTTTCTGATGCTGTATGTTTTGCAGTGGATGGATAAATGCTAGATATATCACTATTGCTAAGAAAGTAAGGGGACTTCCAGGTTAGATGTCGTGGTGTAACGGGCGCAGGAAAATGGGGCTCTGTTTTCCACGTCTGATTTCGCTCTGCTGGGGACCCTAAAAAGGGTCTAAAGTCTCCCCGGAGAGGCAACAAAGAAAAAGGGGACCCTTGTCGATCGCGGAGGGGCAGCGGCCCTTCCGTTTGATCCGAGGATGCCCTTCAAACCAGCAGAAGAAAGACTGGCCGCATTTATGTGGCCAGCCAGAAGCCACCGACAACCCAAAGTAAGCACTAACTAGCAACCTCTGAATAACACGGATGGAACTGGGTGAGAACAATCCTCTCTTTATAATTTTAAAACCTATTCCTGGAAAAAAGAATTCCCAAAGCAAAGAATCCCCCAGATGATAGAGAGAAGGGGAATTTCCACCCCATTCTCTCAGGAAAAGGGAAGCGGCGAACCACTTTCTTTGGGGGGAAATTAGAGAAAACTACAAGATTAATTTGGATTTAATATAGAGACATAGCTTTGACAAATTTGGGGACTAAAAGTATTTTTAAAAAGATATTTGGAAAGTTGGTGAAATAGGTTTGGACTTAAAAGCTGGAAGCTGGATGTTAACGACATCTAGTGGTCAACCTTGGCATTACAATTTATTATGCTTAAAGAAAAGTTGGCACGAAGCCCGGACATAGATAAGGCTCTTTGTTGTTCCTGGAAACTTTCACTTTTGCAGACTGCAGCTGGGAAAAGGGAAAAAAAATCCTTGGGCTGTTTTATCTCTATGAAGGAGACAATAAACCATTCTAAATTGGCTGGCCTGGATTACAAATATTGACTGACTTTTAGTTTCAAGAATTATCAAGAAATATTAAGAAACAGTGGGAAAGTTCCTTCCGGACTATTTCTCTTTGGAAGAAACATGGATAATCAACAAGAAAATATAAATGGACTTCAGAAAGAAATTCTTTCCATGTTGAAATCAATTCAAGAGACAATTGTTTTAAATTATGAGGAGACTAAAAATAATTTAAATAACATAAATGAGCAACTCTCCAACTTAAACTTACAAGCAAAAAACGTTCAAAAAATGACCATAAAGAATGAACTAGCAACTCAGAAACCGGAAGAAAAAATAGAGGAAACTGACATAAAGATAGAGGATTCGAAAGAAGAAACCAATAGAGAGGTACAGATAAATAAAAATTTGGAAGACCCAGATATAACACCGGATATAACATATTTGAGGACAAGGAAGAAGAATTGATAGAATGGATGACAGAGCTGTTAGGAGAAATGCTGAAAACTGGGGAACAAGAAACTAAAAGAGAAACTGAAGGAGAAAGAAAATGGAGGCTGTTTAACAAATATAAATGGATTAAGCGTTTTTACAAAAACACTTTAATTAAATTGTCTTTTTTATTCCAAATAATATATACAGAAACAGAGGAAGAAATACTTGGTGACCTAAATGCACTGATTTGCAAAGTTATTTAGCAAAGGAAGAAAGCTAGAGTAAGACTGAAGAAAATAGAGGTCCTGACTAATTAGATGAGGTATTATACCATCTAGTTAGAAATAAAAGGACCATTATAAATTAGAAGGATGTGATTTGTAACTAGGATAACATAATTTTCTATAAGATGGGAAATATGAAAATACTAAGAGGGTCGGTATAAGGGAAGCTTTTAGTTACCCAAATGTAACTAATTATGAGAAAAATGATAATTGATAAAGTTATTTTGAATATTGATGGGAAATTAAAATTGAAAAAAGAGAAAAAAACAGGATACGGATTGAATAAGGGAACTCTGATTGCAAATACATTTGAAATATGTTTTGGCTAGAGAAGATATTATAAACTGATATTGACACTATGTATAACATTAGAAACATGTGATGAAGATGTTTATATTTAATTGTATAGGTATTAATAGCAGTAAGAATTATACTTGCATAGTGTGGAAAAATGATTATTATTGGAAGAAGAGAGGACCAGGGAAATACTTGATGGTGTAGTATTGGATATTTTGAGTGAAAGTTAATATATACCACTGAAAGATAAAGGAACCCAGACACCGAGTTGTTTATTAAGTACTTATGATTGTAAAACTTGAAATTAATAAAATATTTACAAAAAAAAGAAAGTAGGTTTTACGTGTAAAGTCCTAAGTGATTGGACAAAGAGGAATTTAGACTGACAGTTGCTCATTGTTCTTGGAGATTCTTGAGAAAATATATACTTTCCCTTCTGAATATAAGAGGTAAAATATAGTTTGGATAATGAGTTAAACCTTGTTGATAGGTTTCAAATTATCCCCCTTGAGGAAGTATAGCATATGAATGGGATGAGTAACCTAGGATGTTGGTTTTTTTTAAACAGGTATTGGCATCGGTCACTGAATCCACGCAAGCTGATTGAAGTCAAATTTTCCCACCTCAGTAGGAACATGACTATGCAACGCACCATGAAGCTTTATCGGCTTCCTGAGGTGTGTGATTATGGCATTGTTTTGACTTTCCCATTCTATTCATCCTGTTCTATAAGGAGGGAGTTTTCCATATATCCATCAGATGTGACTAGATAAATTTAGTTATTCCCAGTGTAGAATCTTCTCAGATATTACTGTTTAGGTCATGTCTGGATAAAATATTCTGTGCTTGAGAGTCTGATTTTCACAGAAACATAGGCATTGCACTTCCTGGAACACAGGGAGCTCTCTTCCATTCTAGAAAATTTGCTTCTCCTTCTGATTCATGAAGAAAATGGCTGTCAGATATTTTGGGAATGCAGCTCAAGAAATAATATAGCGAACAATGTGGAAATTATTCCCCCTCATACTAAGACTGGTGGTTATTTTTAGAATTTTTTTCCCCATGTTACATTGGCCAATACTAGATGGAAGGGAAAATGTTTTTGTCTTCTTTTGCACTATCTGGAAGACAACATTCTCTTTGCTAATCTTTGCAATATGGTATGAATTGTGCAACTTGTTAGTTCCCACCTTAGACAGGTATTTAGATTTAAATGTTCTTTGACCTCCTTCTTTGCTTCTAAAGTCAAGGCATTGTAGGGGGAGACCCATGTTAACCTATTGTAGCCAAAAATCAGGAGGAGCTTGGTATCACCTTTTCTGACTAACATTTTTTATTAAAAGGCATAAGTTTTCATGAGCTGCAGCTCACATCATCAGATGCAAAGTGTGGCTTAGCTGTAGCTCACTTTTGAAAGAAGATGTTAAGCAGAACAGCAAAGAGTTTTAGAATAGCTTACCTGTGTACTATTGCAGGGCTTTTCAACCTTTTTACCGATTGTACCACTTTTAGGATATGGCAATATTCGAGTACCACCTAGCAAGGTGTCAAAAACTTGACCAAAAAAAACACAACCTGTTCAAAGTTGCAATTGCACTGAAATGACTTATGACCATTTTTCACACTTATGACCATTGCAGCATGCCAAGGGTCATGTGATTTATATTTGGATGCTTGGCAACTGATTCATATTTATAATGGTCACAGTGTTCCAGGGTCATGTGATCCCCTTCTGCAACCTTTTGACAAGCAAAGTCAATGGCAGAGCTGCTGCTGGCCAAGTGCTAAGGCGGGACTTCCTTTCCTCCCTCCCTTCCCTGCCTCCCTTTTTCTCATTCCCATCTCCTTCTGAAGGAAGAATTTGACCCCCCCCCCCATATTTTCCCTCTTCCATATATTGATCGAACAAGGAAAGGCCTCCAGAGACAGAAAAGACAAGCTGCTGAGTGAACTAGCTTAAAAAGGCACATTCCCCTTTAAGAATTAGCTACTGGCTAGAAAGGAAAGTAAGGAGCGCAGCCTGCACTTAAGGAAGAAAAAAAATGTAAAAAAAATGTAAATACTGGCTGCCGGCTAAGGCAACCTCCCCAAATGGCTCCATTCATAAGTAAAGGAATGCTACAAGCAAAATCCATTCAGGAGAAAAATACTTCAAAATCCCTTGCAGCAAAACTTACAGCTAACAACAACAGAGCAATAGAAGCTAACACCAGACATCAGCCATCAGCCAAATAGAAATTGCCAAACACTCCTTAAGAACACAAAGCCCTCATTGCACAAATCCCAGAACTTCAAAGTCACAAAAGCACATTAGAATCCTTCCACTCTCCATCTCCTTCCCTCCTCTGTGCCTCACCTCCAGCCATTGCTGCCTTTTTTCATTCCTCTTGGAGGGCGACCCCCCCCCCTGAATTTGTTGCCTGTTTGCTGCTGCCAGCACAGGTGGCTGCCACAGCAGTTGTAGATCTGCTCATGGCCAGCCAGCCTGCTTGATTCCCCCTCCCCCTCCCCCTCTTCTTCCCCTTCGGTGCAGCTGGCTCCACCTCCCAAGGCTGCTGCTTTTTTTCTCTCTCCCTCTCCTGCCCAAACTGCCTCCTTTTATAGGCTCTCCTGTCTCCGCCCCCCTCCTCCTTTCTCATGGGGGAGGGTGAGCCAAAAGTGAGCCTGGGGCCTTTGTAGCTCCAGAGGACTCTCTCACTGCAAGTCCTTGCCTGTGCTGGCTCTTTCCCTCCCCCACTACACTTGGCTATGCAGGGCTGCGTACCACCTGCCACTCATTAATGTACCACAAGTGGTACACGTACCACCGGTTGAAAAGCCCTGTACTATTGAAGTTCAATGGCATCTGTGAATTCAGTTCTGCTAATTCAGTGTCGTTGCCTTGACAAGTAGCATACTTTAACAGTTTTTGTAGAGTTGTCAGGGACTCACCAAATATAGGATTGCTTGCATGCAAAGCTGATGTAACATTAAGGAATAGTTTTTATTGAGGGTCTTCCGAATATAGTTTGAAAACTGGCTGGAACATGTCATCCTTAACCAAGTTAATTAATACATAGAGCATTTCTAAATGAATGAATTATCTCTCTTTCTAGACTACTAAGACACCAGGGCTACGGCAAATGGAGCACAAAGATATCCCTGCTGTGCACAAACGTCTGGCAGAATATTTGAAACAATTCCATTTGTCCCCTATCATGAATCAGGAAGAAGTGGAGCATTGGTTTTTGCCCCAGCTAAACATCATTGACACATTTGTTGTTGAGGTGAGGGCCCTTTTTTTCACTCCAATTGTTGCGTTGGCTGATGGATCAGGGTTCAGGCTTCAACTCTTAGAGCCCCGTAACAGGGGTGAGAATTTTAGAGGGACCCTCGCAAGGGTGATCACCTTGAATAGGGAAAGATTTTTCCCCTTGCCACCGACCCAGTGTGCCGGACGTTCCAACGGTCACAGTAGGGAAATGCGATGGCGTATGAACAGAGTCCTAGG